TGAAACAGTCCATTCTCCTATCCGTGGAATGAAGAATTTGACTATTTATGTGGACAAATACTGGTTGTGAGGCATTACTTCCTACTGTGGTTTTTAAATGTATCCACAAAATTTTTTGTCACTAATTCCCTTGGCCTTGATTGCAGGCTAAATTTAGTGACTTGCTTCTAAGAGAATGAGACAGAAGTGACTTCTGAAACTCGTCATAAAAGGTATTACACCTTTCTCTCTTCTCAGATCACTTGCTCTGGGAGATGCAACTGATATATCATAAAGATGCTCAAGCTGGGCCGGCCCGGTGGCTCACTCGGGAGAGTGCGGTGCTGATAACACCAAGGCCCCGGGTTCGGATCCCATACAGGGATGGCCGGTTCGCTCACTGGCTGAGCGTGGTGCTGACAACACCAAATCAAGGGTTAAGATCCCCTTACCGGTCATCTTTAAAAAAAAAAAAAAAAAAAAAAAAAGATGCTCAAGCAGCTCAAAGGAGAAGACCATGTGGCGAGGAAGTTGAGACCTCCAGCCAACGGCCAGCATCAACTGGCCAGGCCCATGAGTGGGCCATCTTGGAAGGAGATCCTCCTACCCCAGTCAAGCCTTCAAACGATTGAAGCCCTAACCAACATCTTGATTGAGACTTTACAAAAGGGAACTAGAACCATCAGCTAAGCTGTACTGAATTCCTGACCCACAGAAACCATGTGATACAATAAATACTGTTTTAAAATCTCAATCATTAAAATATATACATTCATGTTCATGGGAAAGAAAGCAAACTCATTTCTTCTACTAGTACGCATATGTAAAGATAAAGATAACTACTCCTGAGAGTTTTCAGTTTAAGGATTTTTTAAAAATGTACAGGCATGTGTCGCTCAATGTCGGGAATAAGTTCTGAGAAATGCATCATTAGGTGATTTCATCATGATGCAAACATCACAGCATGTACTTACTTACACAATCCTAGATGGAAAAGCCTACTACGCACGTACGCTATATAGTACAGCCATCATTGTATATTCCGTCCATTGCCAAAATGTCATTATGTGGCTCATAAATGTATTTACAAGTTCTGAGTTTCAAAGAAAGCATAACTTGGGTTTTAAAAACTTTTACTCTTGCTTTAAAAAAAAATTATGAGAAAAATTTAAATATGGTTTTAAAAAAACATAACCTTAAAACTGAGTTAAAGAGCAAAAAATGAAGAGCAAAAACATTGCACCCACCACCAAGCTGTGAACAGACAGATGACTCAAGAGCAAGAAACTGAGAGGGATATCTTTTATAAAAAGATGCAGAAACTAGCAATTATTTAAAGGAATATAGAGCAAAAGCCTGCAACTATTGTGATAAGTGGGACAGACAGCAAAAAGGGAAAAAGCAAGCAGGTGAAACTGAAAAACAAAGAGATCCAACCTCAAAAGGTTTATCAGTAATTTTTAACATTTGTTTCTCGTGAGGGTCCTGTTGAAAACAATGGACCTACTCCCCAGAAAAATACATAAGTGCCCACAAAATCATCAATTTCAAAGAATTCTCAGAAACCACTCTCATTCCCATCCATGTAAACAAAAAGAATTCACATTAAGTGCTTTTGACAGGTAAAACATTTAAAAAAAGGAAGGAAGGAATACATCTCTTTCCAACCTGTTCTCTCTTAATACGCCAAATACAAAATGTTCAGGACTACTAATGTAACAAAACCAAGAGCTATATTTGAGGTAGGATTCTCTGGCCCCAAGAGACCCTTCGGGGAAGAGGAGAATGAAGGCTAAGATACGAGTTAGTAAGTTCCTTTCTTTGATGAGGACCAAGCTAGAACAGTAAATGAAACGAAAAAGAAAAGCAGAGCTGTGTGTCATCGACACAAGGGAGAAGTCAAACATACTTTCAGGTTGGCATGGGGGATGTAAGTAATGCTATCAACAGAAACAAGAGACAGTAGGAAGAAACGGTTTGAGAGACTATGATAAATACTGGTTTGACAGGTAAAATGTAGTAAGCAGAATCTTAAAATATTGGAAAAAACTTTACATCTGTACTAAACTTCAAAATTAACAAAAAGCCTCAATGCACATTATTTCCATCTGTTTGAAAAACTATGGCCAAAAGAGTTTAGGTGAATATACAAGGTCACACAGGCCTTTTTCTAGATATTCCATATCCTAAAGCAAACCTTCCTTTGAACTCTCAGCTATTACCTTTTTTCTACATCACTACCTTTTCTAAATCTAAAGTGTTACCTAAACATTTTTATCAAAAACGAAACAGAAAAGATGGGTGGGCAAAGGACAGATGATCAGATCTGGCTTTAGAATCTATCCTTTTGCTTATTTTACTTCCAGACTAGAAGTTCCCATCTTTATCTATTTCTCCTGTGACTCTCCCAATTTCATTTTTTTCTTTCTTTTGCTCACTCCTGTTCTTCCCTCCTCCCTTTCTTAGTTTTAATATATCAGCTTTAAACACAAAAATCCATGTAGTAATTTCAGCTCAAAAATGGTTCAAAACAAATGCAATATGCATTTAGCTCCGTACCTATGGAAAGAGGCTATGGGTGAATGAATTCCAAATACAGCCTGAAACCACATTTTAAATTTTAGCTAACCAAATATCATCCAAAGAGCTACTAACAAATAGCAAACGACTAACAGTCATTTCTATCTCTTAGTTCATCTCCAAGCTCCACTAGTAGTTTATAATAAATATTAACCAAAGAGAAGCAGTATATGAACAGAAAACAAAAATATCAAGGATAATGTTCAAATAGAATTAATTAGTAAAGTAAAAACTACAAGAATGCCATGTAAGTATAATATAGTGATTAAGACAATCGACTCTGGAGCCAGACTGCTTGAAGATTTGGTCAAGATTACAATTCTAGCAACTTTCTCCCAGTCTCAGCCTCCCCAAATCTTAATTTTGTCACTTATACTACTGTAACAATAATACTTTACTTACAAAATTACTACTAAGAAGATATAACACATAAAGCAGACAGCAAAACACATGACACCATGATCTTCTATAAATGTTGGCCATTATGATTACTATTTTCAGACCTATAGTTTAGACAAGAGAAAAAAGGAAGGAAAAAAATAGGAGTGGGGAGATGGGAGGAAAAGAGGTATATTTCTGAGGGGAAAAACAGCAACCCAGAAACTGCTTCAATTACTAACTAGTGGGACTATATATTTCAATCCCCAGAAAATATTTAAAATATCTACCAAAATGGTCAAATCACACTGTACCACACAAATATGCACAAGTAAAAGTTAAAATTTAAAAAAATAAAATAAAATGCAAAAATAAGCTACAGGAAAGGAAAAGTTCAATAAGTAAACCTATCCTTGAACAATTGCTGTAAGCAAAATTCACAAATGTTAGAATATTCAAGGATCAAAGTTAATTGTTAAAAACCCTAGTCTCTAATCTTTCAATAGGGGTGATTTAAAAAAAAAATCAAAAACAACAAATACCATGTGGTTCTTTTCAATGTATAAAGGTACTCTGTTTCCAGTTCAATTTCGTAATCACATTTAAGATGCATATTCTTAGACAAGTAACTTGAAAAAGCCACTAAAGTGAGGAATGCATAAAGTACAGGCTCTTCTCATTAAAAGAAGGAAGAGGGCAGAATGTTCTCACCAATTTTTATATAAATCAAGGCGGAAACTAAATTAGAAGTAACACACAGATCTAACAAAACAAACACATGTAATCTAGCTTATCATGACAGAGGGAACTGTCGAACTCTCTAACCCAACTTTGGGGCGGAAAATAAATTCTACATATAAATATCTGAATACCTACATTCTTTTAGATTCTACCATCCCTTTTGCTCTAAGTGAGCTGGCAGGATTCAACAGTTTAGCAAAAAAGTTCTGTTTCAAAATAAATCAGCAACTGACGAGTTATTAGGCCATCTTGGTAAAATGCTCAAAAACTACAATCTTTTTTTCTCAGAAAAATAACTAAATAAAATAAACCCAAATTAAACTTAGCTACATTGATCTTTTCACTAATTATTAATTGCTTAAAAAATAAATTTTAGTGAATCTCTTTACAAATAACACTCCTACTCAATGACTACGATTCACTAAAAAATTAAATGTAGTCACTAATGGTAACTAAAAACACCATTCGACCCTGAAAAAATATAAGTATCATTAAAAGATAGTTTTCCGGGCCGGCCCATGGCTCACTTGGGAGAGTTAATATTCACAATTTTTTTTAAAAAGCTTTGTTCATAAACTTAAGCCAGCATAAACTTCCTGAGAGGAAAAAAAAATGTATACTCACATTTTCTTAAGTTATTTTTTTAAAGGTTCTTAATTAAGCTTGCTCAGTTCCCCTCAGATTCTGTACCTAGTAACCACCTTTTTGAAAGCAAAATCTTAAGGAATCACTTGAAATACAAAACCACTTCTAATTGTTTCAAAAACTTAATTTCTATAATAGATTGAAATGTTAGAAGCTGGTTATGCCTTAAAACAAGCTATTTCATGAAATATCAGATTAAAAACCAAGACCTGTATTATAATTTGTTTAAATAACTACACAACTCTAAACTGGAACACTAAATTCCATTTGGAATGCAGTCTAAACACATTTTTCAGAAAGTAACTGGCTATCAAAACACATTTAGAATATAAACTGGCTATCAAAAAACATGAAATATTTGTTGGGTTTTTCCCCTACCGTTCTACCTCTCTATGAACCTATAAAGCCTAAGACCATATGGATTTAGTTTTTTTGCTTTAAAAGCACAAAAACTTAGGACTGTTTAAATCTGAAATATTCTTAAGCCTTAAATCTCTTTTTCTGCATTTCAATTCATTCAGACAATGGTTAATAGTTGTTTTCAGACTGTCCAGGAAACTAAAGCCAAGCAATAGTATTGCAAGAAACTAAAAGGCTTCCAAGAATAACACAGGATAACTTGACTCTCATTACAGTCATAAATGAACATTTGATTTGCTCACCATAATAGTACTTACAAATTCCAATAGGACTGCACAGGAAGGTGCTGGTTTTTTCTCTGTAATCTTTGTTTTCCAGTTTGTTCTTTTATTTTGTATCCTCTGAAATAATATCCAAGTTCTTTGAAGATACTTAACCTATGACTATTTGACATAGAGTTACTTCAAGTCAGCTACCCATACTTCTGTTTTAAAGTTTTCATATGGCTAACTCCAGAACTAGCCAAGTTCCTTGGATTTAAGATCAAAGTCTTCTTTCTTATTCCATGTACTTGTCACTGTTGTACTTATCCACTCCAGATGAAATATCCAATTTATGAGCCAAAAAGCAGAAACAAAAAGAAAATTTCACATCTGAAGAGCATTCCTAAACATCAGCATATACAGAGACACATATAGCTATCTCAATACTACCATGCTGCTGGGAAATTGCAACATCTTAAATTTCCACGTAAATAAAACATAAAAAGAAAAAAACTCTGTATTCTTGCAATGTCTTCATTTAGAAAAGCTGTCCCATTGTGACATGAAAAGGGCTGCAGTCAAAAATTCCTAAAACTTTTAATAAAGGTAAAAGTAAACTGCCATGAAACTTCAGCAATATTTAAACAGTAATTTGAAACTTCTGAAACTACTCAGTACACAAATCAAACGTATCTTACAGTTTTGGCTGAAGAACACCAACAACAGGCGAGGAGGGGTGGGAGGGGGAGACAAAAAAAAAAAAAAAAAACACCAGCTGAAATACTTTAACCAGTTATATAATCCGCTTGAACCAAAATACTGAAGAAATGCCGGGGTCTCTTTTTAAGTAGCGTGTTGAATTGTTCACTATCAATTCACTTGAAAGATGATTCTTGCCAATTTTAATAAACTCCTGGGGCAAAATTATCCAAAAACACTGTAATTCCAAAATGGCCACTTGAAATATCCGGGGCTTTTTACACAAAACCTAGAAGATGATCTTCACATCTGCGTAACTGAATCACCTGTAAAAGTTATAAAAAACAACTTTAATTACACACTGAGTTTTGATTTTGAGCTAAAAAGCAATCCGCACCTTAAAAAGTCAACCTCCAGAGAGAAAGGCACTTCTGTATAATCCTACAGGGGCCTTGAAACGGCTTTGCCCAGCAAGCACCCACCCAATAAAAGTCTGCAGAACGAAAAGGACTTAGAAGGGGCAGAACACGGTGATGGAAGATGGTATTATGGAGGACAACTACTGATATGAACTGGGAACGGCGTGCAGATATAATATTGGGGGATTATATAAGCAACCCTTTTTGTACTTTGAGTAAATATTAAAACTATGAAATCGGCACACAATCTTTTCAAAAAGATTCTAATTCTACTCAATGTACCAAAGGAAAACCAATAGACAGGTGTGCTACCATGGAGCTTTAGTAAACGTAACTTAAGGAACATAAACAGAAAAACGCTCCCTCCAAATTATAATGTCTTAAAGAGAAGACAGATTTTCCCCACTAAGGCTAAGAAAGGCAGATGCGAAGTGGGCCAAGAACGTTTCTGAAATTCGCCTGAGGAGACTTCCTCGCTTCTGGGGACAGCAGTGGATTTCCTTGAATGAAGAAAACTGCTTTCTCCCAAAACTGAGAGGGTGAAAAGTGCCGGGCTCTTCTCGTAAACCACAGAAAGAATGATTCTCTCCCAAAAAGAACAGGTCCCTCAGACCCCACAGGACTCAGGGACAAGGTAGCTCTCGCCCCAGTCCACGGCCAGCGCCACGGACCTGTGAAAGGCGGAAGGAGCCGGGGAGCTGCTGAAGAAACCGAAGGCCACAACTCGGCCTGGACTCCCTCAGCCCTCCGAAAAGAGTAGTGGCGCAAAAGGAGGCGGGCGTGTGCAAAAAGCCAGAGGAAGGAAGACCAGCACGGACACCGTCCCCAGCCTTCGCCAACCACCCCCCCAGCCGTCGAGGCTAAGCCACCCACCCCCTCCCCACAACCGCCACCTCCGCTCCACCCGGGGCGAAGTCAATACCTAGAGGGGCTCTCCGCGCCTCCCTCCCCGCTACCAACTAGCTCCCCGCCGCCCCCGGGCAGCCTCACACCACGCGCCGCCAACGCCGCTCCCGACCCCTCCAACCCCAACACCGACATGGGCACCCCCCCGCCCTCCCCCGGACTCCAGCGTGGAGTACAGAGGACGGTGTTACCTTCCGCCCCACCAGAGGTACCCCTGGCCTGGGGGTGCCGCTGAGCTCGATCCCGGGAGAAGGTTTTCGGCACTTTGAATAATCCCCTTTTGCCGCTTTTCCCTCCCCCACAAACAGTCTCAGTCCCAAAATGGCGCCGACCCGATCCGCAATGTTCTGGGCCAAGTCTCGCGAGATGGGGGAAGGTGGCGAGGCGGGGAAGAAACTAGAGGGGTTGAGGAGAAGGGGGGTAAGGCGGAGAGAGGAGAAGGAGGAGGGAGAAAGGGTGTGGAAGAAGCGATGCGAACGAACCTACTGGGAGGGGCCGCAGGAGGAGCACCTCCACCAGAGAACCTTCTGGCCCAAGCAACCGCTCACGCCCCAAAGAAGCTCCGCCCTATACGTCGGGCGGCTGGGGTGGGGGCGGAGCTATGAGTGGGGGCGGGGCTTCGAGGAGGCCCCGGAGGCAGGGGCGCGCGGGGGGCGGTGGCTCCGCGCGGTGACGTCAGGAGCAGCTGGAGTCGGGGATTACCCCCTGCTGCTGACGTGAGGATGGTGAACAATCGGGAACTTTCGTTGGAAGGGGGAATTCCCCGCCGCTCCCTGAGGAGCCCCTCCTCCCTCCCTCCTTCCGCCTGGGGCCGCCCCGAAGTCCGGGATGGTGGGGCCGCGGGGAGCGCGAGAGAGGATCGCTTTGCCGGGAGGCCGCCGGGCTGCTCGAGTGGCGCGCGCCGGGTCGTCGTCCCCGGCTCTAAGCTCGGAGGAGCCACGGTACGCACCACTCGCCCGGGTACCGCGCTCGGGCCTGGGTGAATCGGAGATCCCCAGTCGCCTGTACACAGGCGTGCGCGGGCGGCGCGTCGGCCGAGCTGGCGCGGGAGCAGTGGGGTGATCTGAAGCAGTAGTCCACCCTGGTATGCAAACACCGAGTGTGTCGGATATGAGTACACAAGGGAGGCCGGTGGCTGACGAAACCAGACTCGCGGGGAACTAAGCCCAGGTTCTCAAAGGGTTAAAAATGGCTATTAGCTACAATCGCGCCACTCATTTTTCTTTCTGCTAAAGCTCAGTAAGTGAATTAATTTCAGCAGAGGTCTCGGGGACCCGTGTAGCCCATACGATGTTTTTTTAATGAATGTTTTGGTATTCACAGTTGTTTCCGTGATTGTGTTTCTGTGATTGATACCTTTACGCCTTATAACTGAAGGCTGACTTTGAAACCTGTGAAATTGGCATTCCAGGAGGGGAAAATACTAACTTCATTTGTTTAGACAGAAGGTGGGGGAAGGGTGTCTTAACGAGGAAAACTCTGGAAAATAAAAAGTATTTGGGCCTTTGCCCTCCCCCAACCCACAAGGGCTTTATACATGCACAGACATTTTGTGATCTTTTTATATGCATTATGGAGTTCGTAGTTTAAAGGACTGCTTCTGAGATCTCCTTGAATGACTACTAGAATGTAAGCTCACCAAAATTTACACTTCCCAATCTTTATTTTAGTCTTCATCAGTGAGATGGACACTTTTGGCAATTAAGAATGCCCTGCTGGGTGCAAAGAAAAGGAAACACTTTCTGGATGCCTTGTCTGTGCCAGTCATTTTGATCCCTGTATCAGCCTCGGAGGTGGGTGTTATTTTCCTCATTTTGCAGATGAGGAAACTGGTTCAGATTAAGTAACGGCCTGTAAAGTTACCCAATCTGAAAGTCTGGCGCTACAATTTGGGTGTACCAGATTTAAATTCATTCTTTTCACCACACCACATTCCTTCGGTGGAAGTAACTCATGTATTGAGAGAGGACCTGACCTATTGTGCTTCTGTTTCTAAGCATGATGCGAAACCAAGAAACAAAGGAAAAAATTGATCATTTGAACACACAAAAATTGTGCCTTTTATTTGACAAAAGATACTATAAAGTTGAAAAACAAATAGTGAAACGATTGTAACACTAGGACAAACAGGTTAACAATTATATGTACTCGGTTACTATCCTTAGTATATAATGTTTGATTTGCATAGTAGGTATATCAAGAACGTTTACAAATGATTAAGGGAAAAATACCACACCAGCTCTTTAAAAAGTCGAAGGACATGAACACACTATTCGTGTATAGAGAGGGAGTCAGTAATTATATGAAGAGATGTTCTACCTCATTAGAAATCAAAAAATGAAAATAAAACTAACAGTGATGTACCACTTCTCACTTAGCAGATTGACAAAGATTTTAAAAGACTGAAAACCTAGAGGAGGGTATATGGATTTATTTACATTAACCATATCAAGAATGAAAATCTGGCTGGCTGTTTAGCTCACTTGGGAGAGCATGGTACTGGTAATCGCAAGGTCAAGGGTTCAGATTCCCTTACCGGCCAGCCACCAAAAATTGTTAATAAATTAAATTTAAAAAAATAAAAAGAATGAAAATCTGTACAGCCTTTCTGGAATATAATTTGAATTTCATAAGTGTTTTTTAAATAAGTCTTTAAAATGATACCCATTATCCAGCAAAACAACCAAAATATGACTGATAAATTATATAAAATTCTCAAAATCTAGTTATGTTGTCAGGTCACTGTGAAATAATATGCTGTGCATTGATTGAATTGTGTCCCCCAAATTTCATATATTAGAAGCTTAGTCCCCATTGTAACTAAGTTAAGGGTGGGAAATTCTATTATGGTAATTGAAAGGCAGGTCCTTGAACAGGTAATTAGGTTCGAAGAGCATGCCGTAGTGAATGGATTAAAAATGGTAGTCATGGGCATGGTTCTGAGGGCTTTAAAAAAAGTGAATGGGGAGGTTGCTCTCTGCTCTCTCTGATCAGCTGTTTCACTGTGTGATACCCTGTGTCACTGAAGTCACCACCAGCACCCTCACCAGATGTGTTCCCTGGACTTCTGAAACTGTAAGCAATAAATTTCATTTTCTTACAAAATATCCAGTTCCATGTATTTTGTTATAAGCAACAGAAATGCACAAATACATAATAGTCATTCATTTAACCAAAATGCTAATCAGAGACTTCAAAAGCAACTGAGGAAGTTACATCTCTAAAAACCTTAAACCTTTCAAAGCTCAGGTTTCCCAAGTAATCAAAAACCTGATCAAGACAACACAGAAAATTATCTTGATAAGATGCAAAATCTTTGTGTTTCGGAGTCAGTTACCAAAAAGGTAAAGAAAAATCTCATGTAGTGTGATTGTTTCTTCCTATAGGAAGGCTATTTAGATAACCTGTGTAGTGGATTGAATTATGTCCCCCAAAACTCACTGAAAGCTTGAATTGTGTCCCTAAGTTTTATGTATTAGAAACTTGGCTCCTACTGTGACTGTTAAGAGGGTGTAGTTGAAAGGAAAAACCTTGAAGAGGTGATTAGGTTGTAGGACCATGCCATAGTGAATGGATTAATAATAGTGGTGGGGCATCATTCTGAGGGCTTTAAAAAGAGAGTGCATGATGAACTATCTTCTGCTCTCTGCTTCCACCATCTTGCAATGTGAAATCCCTGTGTTGCTGTGGCCACCACCAGATGGACTTTGGACTTCCCAGCCTCGGAAACTAAGCAATAAATTTTGTTTTCTTTCTAAATTACCCAGTTCCATGTAGTTTGTTATAAGCAACAGAAATGGACTAATACAACCTGTAAATCAAACTAAATGAAAAGATATTTTGAATTTAATCAGACACAAGAAGAATGTGTCCAGGGTTATGAGAGTACATCATATTACAGAGAAACATAAGCAAGAAAAATTAGTACCTTGAGCAGGAGTATACACGACTCTTAGAAAACATGGGAAGTCTCCTAGTTACATGAAACAATTTAGACACCTCAAGAAATGCCAAGAGTACAGAATCAAATTATACTGGAGGAAAAACATTGCTTTTCTAGAACTTCAAGACAGAACATTTCAGTGTCAGATGATAACAGAAGAGTTAACTGATGAAAAAGTTAAAGAGATAGTTATCATCCAAGACCTTCTAGGAAAAAAAAAGGAAATGAAGGAATAAAAGAAATAAATAATTTTTTAAAAAAAGACCTTGTAAAGGGGAGAAAAAGGAAGAGCTGCAGGCATGATGTATGGCCTGCAAATTACATACAGTGAGATACAGCAAAAGTTGAACTTTTGAAATATAAATATAGGAAGCTTCAAGAGGAAGATTCTAGGCTGGCCAGTTAGCTCAGTTGGTTAGAGCATGGTGTTCTAACACCAAGGTCTAGCATTTGGATCCCCGTACCAGCCAGTGGCGAAAAAAAAAAAAATGAAAGGGGCCGGCCCGTGGCTCACTCGGGAGAGTGCGGTGCTGATAACACCAAGGCCCCGGGTTCGGATCCCACATAGGGATGGCCGGTTCGTTCACTGGATGAGCGTGGTGCTGACAACACCAAGTCAAGGGTTAAGATCCCCTTACCGGTCATCTTTAAAAAAAAATGAAAGGAAGGAAGGAAGAAAGAGAGAAACCTCATGATCCTCTGGAAAAAGAGATAAGAAAACTGAGACTCCAGGAAGAGAAAGAAACTAAGAAACTATATAAATATGATGGTGGCTGGGACATCCCTGGCCACGTTTCTGTTTCTCCTACACACCAGAATTCTCCCTGATGAAAGTCATCACATAAACTATTTCTTCTGCCTGGAGCACGTGTGCCCTCCCACTTTCTGCCACCAACTCTTACAAGCTTTTAAGCCTCGGCCTAAATGTCACTTCCATAGACAGCTGTCCTGACCTCCTAGTTCCCCTATACTCTCTCTTATAGCACTGATCATAATTATAAATCAAACAGTTATGTATAAGATTATGTGCTAGATATCTGCCTCACTCACTGGACTCCAGGTTTAATGAGGAATTTATTTATTTATTTATTTATTTATTTTTTTAAAGATGACCAGGAAGGGGATCTCAACCTTGGCTGGTGTTGTCAACACCACGCTCAGCTAGTGAGCCAACCGGCCATCCCTACATAGGATCCGAACCCGTGGCCTTGGTGTTATCAGCACTGCACTCTCCCGAGTGAGCCACGGGCCGGCCCTTAATGAGGAATTTAATGAGGGAATAAATGAATGGGCAGGGAGAGGTGGAGCAATATGAACAGATTTAAGAGTAGGAAATAGAATCCGAGAATGTTATGTCTAAATGTTTGTGAAGATAAGGCAGAGAAAAAAGTCAATAATGACACCAGGCTTCTAATTTGGGCACTTAGGTGAATACTAGTGACATTCCTGAGTTTGAAAATGGAGGCAGAGAAATAAGTGGAAGATGGAAGTCATGAGTTCAATTTGGGACATACCATGAGTATAAATCTCAGATCACAAACTCAAGTGGGCAAAAAACAAAATT